AGGGGCCCTCATCCTTTGCATTTCAGGGCAATAAGTGGGAAATGAAGTCCTTTTTGTAAATAGAGAGGAATGTATCTGCGCTGAGGAATCTGAGAAGACGGACTGTAGAAAGTGTATCGGAAGGACAAAAGCATTTCTCAGGAGCGAGTTCTGTTTGATATATGAGTTCTGGTTGACCTATTCACATGCACAAGCCCTGCCCTTCTCTCCATGCCCCACATGTAGGCTGACCACGAGGTCAGATGACCGTGGTCACATAGCTGTCCAGGTCCGAGTATTAATAGATTGTCCCTTATCCTAAAAAATGTGGTGTTGGATGATGAATTACACGAACATGCTTTCCATAGTGAGGGCAGAAGTATGTCCCTGGCCTAGAAAGAAATACTTGTAAGGAACGGCTGTGTACCAAGAATCTCTTATGTTTATCCTTTCCAAATTAATTCCTAGGGCTTTGGTTTCTGCTGGGAACCCCCTGAGATACACTTACTAGAAGAAATGCTGTGTTTTCCTATTCAAGAGTGTGAGAAAAGACTAGTGCAGTGTTTGTAAGATGAACTTCAAGGACTTGGAAATTCTCCAAGGATTGTCAGCTAACTGAGCTTCCAATGTGCACTTATGTACAGCACAGTTAATCTTTGTACTTATTTTACATCTTAAAGTATAAACTGTGGGTTATTCTAGATCATTTGAATGACCACTAGAGACTCAAGTGTTTCTGTTATCATTGAGTATAACTGAGCCATACTTTTAATGTTTGTGAAAGAATCTGAAACAAAAAATAAATACCATATTCATAGAAACTTCGAAACAAAATGGTTTAATAGGTACCAGAAAAATAAAAATGAAGATTCTTCTGTGATTCAAATATTCTCTCTCTCTCTCTCACACACACACAAACAAGCAACAAATAACCAATGAAATAACAGAAAAGTCATAAAATGAAGAGATGAGGTAGCCGATCTACAAAGTTCTATCTTTCTCTTATGTGTTTAAAAACATGCTCAGCACAGAGTCACACTCCTACCCAAGAATCTATTTGCAGTTGATGTCTGTTAGGGGAAGTAGGTGAAGGAAAATTAGTTTTCTCCAATGGAGGGACACTGTGTATATCAACAACACTTGAGAGATGGTCCCTTGCTCAGAAGTCATTGGCCAATGCAAAATGGACTCCATGGTTTTATTGCTTTGCTGTGTGTGTGTTTGTGTGTGTGTGTGTGTGTGTCTTTGGGGGTTGATTTTCTTTTTTGAGAGAAAGAGCATGGATTTTTAAAAGTCAATTAACAACAACAACAAAACATGCCCACATTTTATGCGGCCACATCCTTTACACAGAACAACAGGACAAATTAATGTTATCTGTTTCTATTTTAGTTTTCAAGCTTGAAAAATTCCTAAAGATGTTTGTGTACTTTAGTGTCACACAAAATGACACTGTATGTGGAATTTTAGACATATTTGCTTGTTCTTTGTAAAAGAAATAATGTGAGAAAATATGGAGGAGGGGCTAGAGAATGTTTTGCTTTTAAAATGGGATAGATTTATATTACCAAAGATTTAGATACAAAAAAGTGAAAAACCCCATGCATTGGAAACAAAGTCCAGTTTGCTGTTTCTCTGCTCTGAGGAAAGCAAACAAACCCAAAACCAACCAGGCTTTCTGGCTCGATGAAGTAATGGGAATGCTCTTTTAACCAAAGGAATATACTTGCCAAGAAGGTGACCTAGCATAGCCAGTTGTCCTCCCATGAGTCCTTGTACTGGCTCCTGTGACCGCCACAGCCTGCAAGGAGACTGACTTCTCTGGGAGTTACTTTAGTTTTCCAATTGCTGTCCCGACTCCCCACTCTCTTGACGTTTGTCTCAGTCATCTGTCTCAGTCTCAGGTATAGTTCAGGGAACACTTCCAAGGAGAAGACACCGGATTAAACAAACTAGCAAACACAAATACCTAGCAAAGGCCTAGAACATAGGAAAAGCTCAAAGTACATTCTCTTTTCTTGTGGCTAGTCTGTTTTAAAGATTAGACCACTGAAGCTCAGTAAGTTTGGAGACAATTTAATGCTGCCAATCAATGTAAAGCAAATGCAGTTCATGATCATAGTCATTTTCATTAAAAAAAAAAAGACAGTTCTAGGTTAATATTAGTTTACTGAAAAATAAGACTTCTGTTTTTTGACTGTCCTTGATGTGCCTGGGAATGGTTTGCTTTTCTATTTTGAGACAGCCTCATCTGCTTTTCTGCCACTGGATAGTCCTCATAGGTTTAAAGTATCTTCCAGAAGACAATTATGGATTTATCCACTGGCGTCCCAACCTTATTACTGAACATGTTTCATTTTGAAAATTTTCCACACAGTGTGCATGCCAAAGCTTGCCCTTAATAAAGTGCATTCTCTATTGAATTTGCGTTTCTCAGATCAGTGAATACCATTTTGAAAGCAGTCTATTCTTTTAACTCACTTTGGGGAGATTAGGTATTGACACCTGTATCATTGGCACATGGAAGCATTTAAAAAAAAAAAAAAAACAAACCTTGTATTGAAGACCCACAGCCAGATACCACGAGGAAGAAAGAGTCTAAACTGGAGGTCCCCATTAACACCCCCGCCCCCCAGAGCTCAGGGAATCCTGCAGAAGACGAGGAGGTAGAAAGATTCTAAGAGTCAGAGGGGATGGAGGGCAGCAGCAGAACATGGTCCTTTGAATCAATGATGCAAGGCACATGAGTTCAGAGCCTGAAGCAGCAAGCACAGGCCCAACATGGGTCTCTACCAGGTCCTCTGTGTATACGCTATAGCTATGAGTTTATTTTCATGGGATCCTGCCTGGGAGAACAAGTTTGTCATGACTCTTGTGCCTGTTGTTGGGACTCCTCATTTCCTGTTGGGTTGCTGTGTCCAACTTTGATATGAAAGTTTTTGATTCATCTTATTATATTTCATTTTGTCATGTTTGGTTGTTATCTCTTAGAAGACTGTTCTTTTCTACTAGAGGACAGAAAGGGAGTGAATATGGAGGGGAGGGGAGGTAAGAGGAGGAGGAACTGGGAGGAGCAGAGGGAGAGGAAACAATAATCAGGATATATTGTATGAGAAAAGAAACTATTTTTGATAAAAATGTGAAAATATAATTTACTTTTATTGGGGAAAAAAGAAAGAAAAAATATATCTGGACTCCTTAAAAGTAACATCAAACTCTCTACTAAAGTTCTAGCTAATGTACAGGTCATGACAATATGCTTAAAGGGCAAAACAGTCTATGAACAAGGACTCTAAACACTCTGATAAGGTGTCTTCAGTGGAACTATTCAAATTTTGATGGATAAAGTAAAAAAAAAGATACAGTGTGTGTGTGTGTGTGTTCATGCACCAGATCAATTAGGTAGCTCAAAAGGCACATGTGTGTCAGGAAAGACGGTTCTCAAGTGAAGAGTACTTACTGTTTTTCCAAAGGATTCAAGCTTTCTTTCCAGCATGGATATCCAGTGACTGACAACCACCTTTAATTCCAAGGGATCCCATGTCTCTGGCTTCTGTGGGCACCTGCACCTGCATACATGTACTTAGACACATACATACATACACATAATTAAATAAAAATGTGTGGTGATTTAAAAGAAAATGACCTCCATAGGGAGTGGCACCATTAGGGGATGTGACCTTATTGAGTAAGTGTGGCTTTGTTGGAGGAAGTATGTCACAGTAGGGGTGGGTTTTGTGGTCTCATATATGCTCAAGGCATGCTCAGTGTCTCAGACCACTTCCTGTTGCCTGCAAGTCAAGATGTAGGACTCTTAGCTACTTCTCCAGCACCATGTCTGCCTGTACACCACCCTATTACACCATGACGACAATGGTCCAAACCTCTGAAAACATAAGCCACCCCAATTGGATGTTTTTCCTTTATAAGAATTGCCGTGGTCATGGTATCTCTTTTCAACAATAGAAACCCTAAGACAAAATGCATCTTAAAAAATAACACATGCATGAGCTAGCTACATCCTTATATGGAGGAGGTAACTGATATTATCTGTCCTGGAATCTAAGACAAGCATATATATATGGTTGTGCATCTGAAACAGTGTCTGTATTGCTTAGGCTGGTCTTTTACTCTGAGCTTTCCATGTCCGTCTCTTATGTGGCTACAGTTACAAGTTATTATGCCTTGCTGATAAAGAAACCTTTTACTGAAGAGCGTAGGTGGTTAGATTGTTTGCCTCCTTTATTTGTTAGCCACAATTGTAATAGTCGAGTGCTGCAATCAAGCTTTTTCTAATGATCAATGTTGTAGAATATTTGTTTAACTATGGAAAGATGTGTTGCATTGGTTTATGTTGCAGAATATTTGTTTAACTATATAAAGATGTGTTGCTCTTCTACCTTGCCTGCCTAATAAAAAGCTGAATGGTCAATAGGAAGGAAGGAGGTATAGATGGGACTACCAGGCAGGGAGAGTAAAGTAGGAGGAATTTAGGCTCATAAACTGGAGAAAGAAAAAGAGACATGGGGAAGATGCCAGAAGCCAGCCAGACAGACAGGAAGGAAGCAGGAAAACAGGACATACAGAATAAAAGAAAGGCAAAAGCCCCAAAGCAAAACGTAGGTGAGTAGAAATAGGTTAGATTCGCTTAGAAGAAATGGTGGGACAGGCCTGGGCTAGCGCAGAGCATTCATAATTAATAAGTCTCCGTGTTTTTGTTTGGGAGCTGGTTAATGGTCCAAAGAAAATGCCAAGTACAGATCAATTTAAGAGGAGCGTCTACCTTGTGCCATATGATGCAGGTAGTTATACTGGATCCTCGTGACTAAAAATGCCACAGAGTAGATTCTTGTGACATGAGCGACAGTTATCCCCACCATGCCCCGTCTTCTTTTCCTGAGAGTTAGTAGTGTAGTCCTTACCTATCAGCATCATGTCTGCCCACAGCCTTTAGCCAGCTCTTTTCTCTGGCCCTCATCTTCTTATATTATTTTGGAAAGATGATTAATAAATTCATTGGATAAATAAGTGAAGATTTATATAAAAACAATCACAGGCTTATTATCTTATGTTTCTCTCCCACCATTACTAATCTCTCTGGCTTTTGCCTATTTTACTATTATCTGCAACTTTATTCCCTTTTGTTTTTGAAAACGAGATCGCGTCGCCTTGCTCAGCCTTATTACATGGAAGGTGCTTAGTCTTCTTGCAACTTGATATGCCATGTTTTGTTGATACTCATGGGGGACCTGCCTGTTTCTAAACAGAAATGGAGGGGGAGTGGATTAGTAGAGTGGAAACAGAGGTGGGAAGGGGGGGTTTCAGGAAAGGGACTGGGAGGAGAGGAGGCTGGGGAAACTGGCTGGGATGTAAGATAAATAAACACACTTATTAAAAAAAAAAACTAGACTGAAGTTGGGCTCTATGGTCCTGTTTCTTATTCCTTAGTGAGCTATACGTTTTCAGTCTGTTTATTCTGTGGTGTGGTATAGTTATTCACATGTAATAGGCTCTTCCATAGCAATATGCAGTGGAAAATTCCTTTTGACAAGCCATAGCAAGCTTAATTGAGTCATGACGTATCCCATTAAATGACTTCCAATGAAGCAAGCAGTCCTTTCCCTGAGGTAGCAAATGCTATCCTACGGTTTCATCATGACTGTATGGTCTTATATGCCTAAAGAAATGAATTTCTTCATTTAGAAAAAGTTACAGAGAGGTGTGGAGTTAATATTAGAGTTATCGAATTAAATTTTAAAGAGGTACATGTTCTACCAAGCTAATCTTCCTTAGATGTAAGGAAACCTATTTTTTTTTTTTTTTGAGAAAAAAAACCTAGCACTGATTACAGGTCCATTTTTAAGTGGTATGCTTACTTGGTTGCTTAATGAGCCCCTTATGAGAATCCCAGATCTACTCTTTTTAAGTTTAAATTTTATTACAAAATGTAACTTGTCACGTCAGTAGAAACCATTCTGTCAAGAAAGTACTTATGATTTTCTCAGTCATCCCAAATCCTGACACGGCAGTTAATGTTTTGAGAACGGATGGTGTGAGGGCTCTCGGCACTAGCAGACCAGTAGTAGCTGACCGTGTGCAGTGTTGAACTTGTGAGCCTCCAGCTAAGTCTTCCGCAGGTGATATGATGGTACCACTGTCAGTCTGGAGAGAAACATTAGGAATGGGTCTCATCCTTGCCTCCAACCCCAGTGCAGCACTAAGCCAAGAAAGGGAGATTACAAACCATTGATTTGAACCATATAGATGAGCCAAAAATAAATTGTGCTATCTGTTCTATTTGTCCCTAAAGTCAAATTTACCTAATACATAACACGAGTAGTCCCGTTCAATTGCATCAAAGGACTTCTTGGCATGTAATGCGATTGTCACGATTCGTTCTGATGTTCTCTTATATTTCTGATGAGCGGCATTAGCCTATGAAGATAACCTGATGCTTCTGACCAGGCAGGCATACAGGCTTCTCGATAAAGGTCCATTAGGCCTTTATTATTTATTCATGCACCATGTATTCAGGTAGTCATTATAGTATACCTACCTACGCTATATGAAAGCATATTTTTCACAGTACCACTAAGGGAATAATATGTAATTTAAGTATAAAGCTAAATGGATATATGTAATAGAATAAAGAATGGTAGGCCACCTTGACTTCAAACCACAAATAGTATCTTATGCTTTAAAAATTCAGTACAAACCATTTAAATGCATGACATTTATTCGTAGTCTATTTGTGAAACTAGTGGCTGCTCCGGGTGCTGATGGCAGGGAGAAGTAAATGTGTTGGTGGCTAACCTAAACTTTTATGAAGCCGTTTTTAAAGTGACTTCATGCCACAGAAAGGGGCATCAATTATTGCTCAGTTTTCAGTTGAAATTGAAAGGCTGTCCAAATTTCCATTCTTCAGCTCACCATCTGTAACAGAGAGGGAGGCAAAAAATACCTCCATGGGAGATTCCTTATTATTACAATCACACGAATAGGCTGAAATATTTCTTTCCCAAGTATTGATAAAGCCTTTGATGCTCTGGGAATCTGAAGAGTGGAGAATAGGCATAAAGGCAGCTGGTAATCTTAAAAGTTCTATAATCCATACTGGTGGCACAACACAGTATCAGAGGAAGGGCTGGCAATGGAGCCAGCTCTCATCTGGCTCCCTGCTTAAGTTGCCAGTGTCCTTGACAAACAAGTAACCCTGGGCTTTGCTTCCTCATCCACAGAGAGGAATACAAACTCACTACCAGCTGTGGCTCATTTGATTGCTTGTTTTGAGACAGTGTCTCCCTCTGTGGCCAGACAATGGAAGGCCTCTGCACGCCAACGGCTGATTACTGACAACCACCATCATTCCTAGCCCACAGTTATAAAGATCAAAAAAGGCAACAGCCTTCGGCCAACCATTTAATGCTCAATAAATGTTTGCTGTTTTGTTACAATCATCTTAATAAAATATATAAATATATGTAATAAGCATACATGTGTTTCTCATCAGTCCCAAGAAAGTCAAGTTCAGTATCACACTTTGTGCTCAACAGAAGCTTCATGACATTATACAGGAAAAATAATGACATTTTGTGCTGTGAAAATTTACACTGTGGTTAAATGACACAAAGAAAATGCACTTTTAAAACTAGAGACTCCAAAGACAGGATTTCAAACAGAAAAACAATCCAGTAAGTCAAACTAAAATAAACAGAACACTTTTTTGTCATTAATCTTCTATACTAATTGAATACAGTTGATGGGCTCAAGAGATAAACCTTTACTTTAAACACACCGGTCACATATACTTTAAAATATTGTAGAGAACAAAATTTCCCTAGATATTTCCATTAACTTGAGTCCAGTGACACAGTCTTGCAAAACAAAAAGTGCATACTGAATACCTTAGAGAACAGAACAGACAAACAATACCATTCTGCTGCCATGGAATTTTGTGTTCCCTAGCTGATTTTTTAAGCGAATTTTTGGCTTAAGCCATGGCTTCATGGTTAAGAGTATGTGTTGCTCTTGCAGAAGATGAGAGGCATACAAACTCCCAGCACCTACGTGGTGGTTCATAGCCATCTATATCTCCAGGTCCAGGGGAGCCAAAGCCCTCTTCTGAATTCCTCAGGCAACAGCCATTTACATAGTACACAGACAAACATGCAGACAAGACATTCACACACATAAAATAATAATAAATAAATATTAAAAAATTTTAAAAAGCTAATTTCTAAAAGGATGCTTTGTTATTTTCTCTCATGCTATCTTTCCTTCTTTCCCTCCCTCCCTTTATCCTCCCTACCTACCTCTTTCTTAAAGAGGGTCTTGCTATGCAGCTCAGGCTGGACTCGAACTTGGTTTCTGCCTCAGCCTCCCAAATGCACTGCCATGTCTGCCAGCATGATTTTTAGTAATAGTTGGAAAATATGTTTGGATCCAAGAGAAGCATTTTTTAAAGAAAAGTTCATGATTGAAAACTGATTCTAAAATCCTAAGCATACATATAGACGTATGCACAAAACTTGTGTACATGTAAACAGAGAGAGCCACTCAGTGAATGGTTTGGGACCTTGGTAATAGATAATTGACTCTCATCAGGCATCTCTCTCGTGTGCATTAATATGTGACATCACACTCTCATATAACATTTTATAACCTAGTGAAATAAAAAGCCCCTTCAGATTGCAACTGTAAGATAATCAGATTCCGTAGTACTCATTATGACTGCAATTATGTAACAAAACACTCCAAATATAGTTCAGTTATTGCCGTTATTAATCATTCTGGTTCTGTTTCAAGTGCTTGCTTTATAGCCTGCTGGATAGGCTGCATTATTTCACAGGCTGAATGTCGAAAGTCAAGCACGTGCTTGTGACTCTGCTGCGCTAAAGGCCTTTCAACATAACTTACCCTTTCAGTTTGTATTTCTGAATAAAAACAAATGGGAGGGATGACGAAGTTGGTGTCAATGGAGTCACTGACCTTTGCAGTAAACAGAAGAGAGTCCTTAGCACAACAACTTTGCAAATAAGAAACCTATTTTCCTACGACTAGAAATTGTGCTGTTTAAGGAGCTAGCTTTGGAATACCGATTGCTCTGACAGAACGAATCTGCACATTTGATGAGGAAATGGTAATGAGTGTTGGCAGATCCAGTTTTAAAGGAAATGTTTAAAATACCTATGTCATAGGATTCAGTCCTAAATATTTTATTTATTTCATTTTACGCACAGAACCATGTATTCTAACTCATTTACCAAGTAAAAACAAGAATTTGATTACACAGAGCCAACACCATCTGTCCCACTTTACACATCACTGTAGATATATTTCGAGGAACAAAACTGGACCTGAAAATTTCTTAAGCCTATGCTGTACACGGCTGAAGTACTAACGAAACAGGATTCCAAACGGTCCTAGGCAAAGTGGCTCTGTAATTATAAGTACTAACGCATAGTGTGCTCAAATAATATGCATATAATAACACATCAATACGGCCTACAAAATTATGTCACCATTTTCCTGTACTCACGATTTTTTTCAGCTTGGCTATAAACATTGGGCCCCAAGCTTTGCCCTTTTCGGGAAGCACCAAAAGGCTGCATTTCTGGTTAGTGGGAGCAAATGTGAAATCCTGGGAGCAAGTCCTTGCTAGTCCACTAATGTCCACAGGCACGATGGTACTGTTGGAGGTTAAGATCTCACTGATGACGTCCTGATTTTCAGCCCTGGAAAGCGTGCATGTGGAGTACACGAGAAGCCCTCCAGGCCGTAAAGCCTTAATTGCAGACCTGTGCATAGTGGGAAAATGAAGAGGTGAGTGGGGTACAACAAGGAAAGTAGGGGACCTGAGTCAAGTAGATTACATACCAGCCTTGCTCTGCCTCAAGCTGCAGTAAATCTGGTGGTTTTCTGACCCTAGTCATAGTTCATTTACATCCTATACATAGTTTATCACTGATATACTGAGAAACAGTAACCAGAGAAATCAAGATGGAAAAGTCAGAGAAAGTGAGTTGGTTGACGGTTTGTTCTTCTAAGGGAAGGAAAAGGGGGGCAGAACACAAATAATATTTTTTAAATCATGGAAGTAAAACAGAAAGCAAAGACAATAATTGACAATAGACATAATAAATCATTGATCATACTCTACATGCTCAAGGAGAACTATCAGGTAAAGTCAGAAGGTATTCACCTAAGAAAAAGAGATAAATAATTTGTAGAGACATAAGGGAGCTGCTGTGGCCTGGGAAGCCAAAGACCTTTGCACTCTGCCTTACAGGGGTCCTCTAGAGTAAGATCTAGCTTCCCACGGTGTGATATTAGCAGAAAAAGTTTCCACCCTTACAATAAACCTCCTGTACATTGTTGTTTCCTTATAAACTAAAACGTATGTCCAAGGATCCCAAGGAATGATTAATCAATACAAAAGAAAAAGAACACAAACAGCAAAAATGTGGCCTAGAAAGAAACTGACAATTCAATTCAGGGAACAAAATACGACACAATAAACACAGAAAGATCAGGGAAGATGGATCACTCATAAAATAGCAACATCATAGGAAAACAGCAAGAAGAGAGTTCATAGAAATTGAACATCTGTTTGCCAAAATAAGGAATACCTGTAAAAGCACTTGGAAAATAATGGTCAACATATTCCCCGCTCCCCGCCTTCAAAGAAGAACAACAGGTGAACTCAAAACAACCTTGTCCAAAATTAAAGTAACAAATTTAGAAAAATATTACTCAGAAGTTTTTAACAACGGGAATTGAATGAATGTAATAACATAACTATCCAGAATGGGGACAGGACACAGCGCTTCAGATGGAAGGAACTCATCAAGCGGCTACCACAGTCATTATTATTCATGTATCACCTATTATTTGCTGAGTATTGTCTAGGTATGGGATATGTATCAATGAATAAAACGAAACAATGAAAATACAAACAATTTAAAACACCTCCTACGAGGTGTTATTCTGAGGAAGGAGTATGAGGCCAGCATTGGTTATACAGTGAGTACTAAGCTAGCCAGGGTTACACAGACAGGCTATCCTGTCTCAAAATGCTCCAGGAAAAAGCACACTATATCCAATAACAAAAGCTCAGCCCTGAAGACATACACATACAAATAACAATGTATAGTGTGGGCAGGCTGTATTTTAAATTTAGAAACACACATATGTGAGAGCAACTAAAAAAAAAGAAAAAAGCTGCGAATTTGAAAGAGAGCAAGGCAAGGTACTTGAGAGGAAGGAAAGGAAAGGAGGAAACAATGTAATTACATTAGTTTCAATTAATCTAAAAGTTTTCCAGGGAGGGGGAATTGCAGTCATGATGTAATGTATGAGAGAATACATTTTTGGAAAAAAAATTATAAAAATAATAAATCCAGAGACCCAAGGGTGGGGGGCTTTATTTTCCCAAATATCACATTCTCATAAGCACCAACTATGGAAAGATGATCACGCCAATGACTGAACTGTGCCCCTTAGACTTATACAATGATGTGAAAACACACGTCGTCTCTGCATGGGGCTGAGTTTGGAAATAGGCCCTTTAATGAGGTAATTCAGTTAAAATCCAGTCATTGGAGAGGACACATTAATCCAATTTAGCTGATATCATTATGGGAGAAAATTTAGACAAAGAGCTCCAGAGAGACGGACCTGTAAGCCAAAGGAAAAGAAGGTCTGCAACCATGGAGGGAGGCCTCAGAAGAAGCCAGGCCTAGCAATGTCTCTCAGACTTGCAGCCTGTCTGCTGTCTGAGTAAACTAATCCGTAAGCTACGCAGTCAGGTGCACTTTGCCATGGTGGTCAAGGAATACTCATAGAAAGTATATGTATACACATAAACACGCACAAATCTATACACAAGAGTATGTAAGACTATGTGAGTTTGTATATATTTTTATTTCATGTGTAAATTATTGGCAGGTACCATGAAGAAAACTAAATTAAGATAAAAAGATTAGGAATGATTGGACAGTGAGGAATTGTAACTTTAAGACTGAGTAACAATTGGGCCAAACAGATGTGTGATGGATAACTATTCTACACTGCAGGAATAGCCAGGAAGAAATCCCTGAGGCATGGCCAAGGAAAGAGGACAGATGTGTGGCTGAAGGCAGGAAGACAGGAAGGGAATGGGGGATGGGATGAGAGCTCAGATCAGAGTTCGAGGTGCAGAGGCCTGTGAATGTACTGTAAACCTCACCTTACACACGTGCACTGAAATACATCACTGCTAGTGCTTAGAATGCTGGGAACAAAAAGAAGATACTAAATGCTTCCAGAAGGAAAGACGAACCAGCAATAATTATGGGCCATTTCAGCGTTCAGAAAGCAGGCTGGCAACAGGGAATGTCACGCGACTTCCATTTGCAGCCGACCCATCAAATAAATATGCGAGAAGAATACAGAAATTCAGAGATTGGATGGCTCTGAATTTTTCCTCTAGTGAACCTAAGGGATAAGGAGAACCAGAGCCCATAAAAGAGTAAATATGGCACAGAATGGTGAAGGGCGGGAAGCCTCAGAGTAGATGCAGTGTGTGAGCTTTGAGGTGAAGCCTCTTCAGGCGGCAAGGGGAGGGGAGGTCTCCAGAAAGAATGGCTGACAGGTAAGAAAAACCTGCAGATCCACCATGCACAGCTGGGAGAGAGAAAGTTTGATGTTCCCCTCTGATTTGGTTGCAGAAAGACTTTTTAGTGGAACTCCTGCCATAAAATTGAACTAACAGAAAGAGAAGTTTAATTCTAACACATTGCCCAAGTCTAGAGTAAATGATATTTATAGAATTAAACAATCATTTATCATTTCCAATATTCAGAATCATTTCATAGATTGATATTAGTATTGTCTTGGAGAGTAGATAAAACCTCTGAAAGAACAATACCAAGGCTGACAACCATGAAAATGAAGACACCATCAAAAGGGTACTGAGAAGTAAATAAGGAGATATGCATGGCAGGGCCAGCATACAAATACACTTATTTCAGAAAAAAAGAGGAGGCACTTCCCTTGTGTAAGAGAGAGAGAGAGGGAGAGGGAGAGGGAGAAGGAGAGGGAGAGAGAGAGGGAGAGGGAGAGGGAGAGGAGAGAGAACCAGTATAGACTAAGAAATGGAGGTCTCAGCTGCCTAGGAGAATGGGTAATGTGGGCTGCAGGTGTACTCCACTCATTATAAAATGCAGTCTGTGCAAATCAGTCGTCACAGATGACCAAGGACACAGAGTGTAGGGTCCTGTATGTGCGATGAATACCAGCAACAGGCTAGTAGTCGGTGCCTAAAAGCTAGAAAAGAAAAACAAATTATTTAGAGAGCTGGGGATGCTCTTTAGAGATTTGGTAGTGACCTGGAGAATAAATTAAGAAATATGTGAAAGTCATTGCCTCTGAAAACACGGGCGGAAGAGTACAAGAACAGAAAGCAACATTTTGGACAAAATTATATTTCTGGATTTTTTTACCTATATGGTTATTTTGTATGACACTACAAACAAGAGCGGAGATTCAACACTAGTCTAAGTACCTACCTTTTCCACAGTCATTTGTTTTTGTATAAATTTTGATTGTTAGGAGAAAACTTAATCTCCAGACAGCCTATGCTCCGAAATCCCAGCTAACATTTTGTAGTACCTAAAATTTATAGACTTCCCAAGTATCCCTTTGCCGAATGAAACATGAGTATATGCATATTTGGGATATTGAAATGACAAGCAGCAAATGGCAAAAAGCACTTGATTGAGAATCAGTAACGTTTTGACTAAGGTTTTGAGATCAATCCAATTTGTATTAAAAATAAAGCCTTTGTGTTATTCCACATAGTTTCTTTGTTTAGAAATTAATGTAGCCAGCTAAGTTATGCAACCTAAGTTTAGAAGATAAGTTAAGGATGTTGAAATGAAAACAGCAGAAGAATGAGCCAATACTGCAACACTACAGAAATAATTAATTTGCATCAAGCCAGAAACACATTGTTGGTAAATGGTGAAGCTTCTGTGTCATTTTGTACAACTTTAGGGAAAAGGAAAAAAAAAAAAAAAACCCTTACTCTTCCCTAATTAAGTACTAGCTTTGTTACCAGTGGAATTAAGATGAAAATAGTCCTTTTAATGGCAACTTAAAGACATCTGCATTCAAAACTGCATATATCCTGTGCACAGTGTTTATCTAATGGATTTTTAAAAAATATTGCGTAGTCCATAGAAAATGATCTCAAATGAGTGTAGCTCAAATACAATTGTAGAAAAATAACAACACATTTAATGGCTTAAAGTATTGGAGCCATATCCCCTTTAGGCCTCCGGAGCCCACAGTTTATAACAGGATTCCTGACTCAAATCAAGGTAGTCCTATGCTGCATCACCCCAGCAGCGTGGGTGAGGAATCCTTACTTTTATCCTGCTTTGTATGTTAGCAGCCATGCACCTTGACGAGGCAGTGCAGTCATCCAGCCTGAACTCTGTCATCGCAGCTCCTAGTCTACCTCTATGCTCCCTTCCCGCCTGCAAGGACCTTCGTGATGACACCGGCCCACTGAGATATCCAGGGCATTCTCCGCACCACAGAATCATATTTGGTCAAATCTAAAGAGCTTCTAGCCTATTCTGGTGACTCTGGTTATCACTGTTCTTATGACAGGGTGTTATCTTATTAACAGTTCCCTTCTCTGGTGTCTAGATATGAAGACCTTCCCCGACCCTGGCTGTGTACATACTGTGGGGATTGAGAAGAAAATATGAATAAACATCTTTTAGAGACTTTTGAGCAAAGCATATAGTCA